GCGTAAGTTAAAGAATAGTAACGGACATTATCTCGAAGAAATAAAAAAAAAGCAAGTGCATGCGCCGTGATTGTAATAAAAATGAATATAAAAATAGCAGAAAGCAAGTGCATGCGCCTTGATTATAATAAAAATCAATATAAAAATAGCAGACAAGAGTTGGTGTTTAACGGTGGAAAGTGATGCTTACTGCATTTGGTTGGTTAGACTAAAATTGTGTTAAGCCCTAGCCTTTATTTCACCAATGGTGTCAGCCGGCTGTAATTAAGACTTTTGTCCCTTATTTAATCATTGTTTTCCAATCATTTGGGCGCCTTTACCATCAAAGATTGTTGACTTGCCGTGATGAGATAGCAAACTGCATAACAATCTTTGAAATTTGAATAAAGTAAGCAAATTTGAAGAAGAAAACTCTTTGGAATTCGGAATGAAAGAAACTGGAAAGTGCCGTCTGCTTTAAGAATATTAAGTATTAACATGATGAAGCATCGTTTTACTAATGAATATCAAACTGGAAAGCAAGAACGAAGCATCTCAAATACTACATGTATCTTTGTTTTCATTTCTTTTACATGCACACCTGTTTGCGTTGCATTTGCTTTGATGTTCTCATGGAAAATAAAGTTGGCTCTCAAGAGAAAGTGAAACCAACTGCAATTAGGAAAACATATAGTCCTTGACTACACACCCTCTTTTGGTAGAGTTCTTTTCCATACTCCATATCCATTAAAATATGCAGAACTCACTCTAAGTGGAATTCAGACAAGTGTATAACATAAGTTTGTTTTTCTTCTTCATATTTTGTTATAAGGAAGCGAGATCAAACAATTGACCTTTGATCTTTGCTGGGATTAGGGTTTTCTTATAAATCCAACCAAGAAATGGAAAGAAGGTGATCATGAACAGCCTCTTTTAATGGAAAAGGAAAACATTTAATCAAGGAACTCTAATATGCAGATATCGATACGCCGTAAAGCTATGATGGAATGAAGATCGTATAATTAACAAACAGAAGAAATATGATAGCATTTTTGAGTTGGTTTTGAACCCTAAGTTATGCACTTGGACTTAGTCTCCCAGCTTTTTTCACGTGGCATATTTTTTTTTATAAATATAGGATAAATATATGATAGTATCTGTCCAAATATTTTTAATCATTTAATAATGAACGATTATACACGGTATTCAAACCTAAAACTTCAAGAGATAATAACAATCCTTCAATCATTAAGATCGTTTGATTAGTGTCTCATAAGAAATATTAAAGTTACGTGAAAAGAAAATTACTAATAATTAAAGAGTAACAAGTTTTAGAATCATGGTATGAAAAAACTATGGTGCATATAAGAAAAGGTAAAGATAGTTTAGCTCAAAGATGTACAAAAGTAGCACTCAAGTCTTTGTCAATGACAAGTATTTACATAACTTCTTTGCCGTTTTATTTTACTATTAGTAAATCTTTCCCGAATGACTAATGCTAAAAGACACTGAGCAGTAGTGAGCACAGAAATGAATACGTGAAAGATTAGCAACTGACATTATGTCGAAGAAACCGGAAAAGCAAGTGCATGCGCTGTGATTATAATAAAAATCAATATTAAATTAGCAGACAACAATTAGTGTTTAACGGTGGAAAGTGATGCTTACTACATTTGGTTGGTTAGACTAAAATTGTGTTGAGCTCCTACCCTTAGCCTTTATTTCACCAATGGTGTCTGCCGGCTGTAATTAAGGCTTTTGTCTCCTATTTAATCATTGTTTTCCAAGCATTTGGGTGACTTTACCTACCATCAAAGATTGCTGACTTTCCGTGATGCGATAGCAAACTGCTTAACGATCTTTGAAATTTGAATAAAGTAAGCAAATCTGATGAAAAAAACTCTTTGGAATTTGGAATGAAAGAAACTGGAAAGTGCCGTCTGCTTTATGAATATTAACTATTAACATGATCGAACTGGAAAGCGAGAACGAAGCATCTAAAACACCACATATATCTTTGTTTTCAATTATTCTACATGCACAAACCTGCTTGCGCTTCATTTGCATTGATGTTCTCAAGAGAAAGTTAAAAACCAACTGCAATTAGCGAAACATATAGTCCTTCACTCCATTAAAATATGCGGAACTCACTCTTAGTGGAATTCAAACGAGTATATAACATAAAGTTAGTTTTTTCTTTCTTTCATATTTTGTTGTAATGAAGCGCAGATCACAAAATTGACCTTTGACCTTTTCTGGGATTAAGGGTTTTCGAATAATTTTCTTAGAATTCCCACCAAGAAAGGGAAAGGAGGTGATCATGAATAGCCTCTTTTAATGGAAAAGGAAAACAATTAATCAATGAACCCTAATATGCAGATATCAATACGCATCAAAGCTCTGATGTAATGAAGATCGTATATATTAACAAACAGAAAGAACATGATGTTTTTTAGTTGCTTTTGAACCCTAAATTGTGCACTTGGACTTAGTCTCGCTTGTTTAATTTATTGACGAACAG